CGCGCGTGGAGCATGTCGGGTGCGGGAGAGGCACGCGATGGAGATGCTGGGCGGTGGTACGGCCGCACAGCGGTGGACGGTATGTCGGCGCGGGGGGGGCACGCGGTGGAGATGTCGGCGCGGGCAGGGAGGGCGCACGCGGTGGAGATGTCTGCGGCGGTGCGAGGGGCAGCACGCGATAGCGAGATGTGGGGCGGGGCGGCGCCCACGCCAGTGGAGATGTCACGGCGGCGAGGGGTGAGAGATGTCGGGCAGGGGGTGGGGACGGCACGCGGCTGGGAGATTTCGGAGCGGGCGGCGGGGCACGCGGTGAAGAGCTCGGCGCGGGGCGCACGACGTGCAGATGTGGGCGGAGCGAGGGGGCACGCGAGTGAAGATTGTTATGTCGGACGCGGGGGGTGCACGCGTGAGGATGTGGCGCGGGGGGCAGGCACGGCGGTGAAGATGTCAAGGGCGGGGCGGCACGCGTGGATGACTGTGTGGCGGGAGGGGCGCACGCGATGGAGATGATCCGGCCGCGGTGTGGTGAGGGGCGGGCACGCGGAGAGATGTCCGGGCGTAGTGTATGAGTGGGGCGGGGGCGTCGAATGCCTTCGTGAGCGAAGGTTCTTCCGAAAATGTCGGAGAAGCACAGATAATGTATTTGTGTGTGCATGCGCTCGTGCGCGGCCTCGCGCGTGTGTTTAAGCATACGATTTTCTCACAAACATCACGCTCGTAAACCACGTTCGAAAATACACCGTGCCCACGCACGCCACGGTAAAACACCATTTTTCAAACATTCCGGTAGCAAATTAGAGGCAAACAAACGATAAGTCAGTAAGCACTATACCAACAAATACCTCGCACACTAACAAACTCCGTATTAACAAACACGACAGGAATGTATACAAATGGTTGTGTGTTTTTCATGAAAATGTAGAGCGTCGGCCATTAACTAATCTTTCGGCCAGCACAAGTTTGAAATCTAAGAAACGTTAAACTGTATTTGCAACCTCCTCGTGTTTCTTTCAGTAAACCCAATTTTTTTTCACGCAATCTTTTCGATCTGTGATATTACAGAATGTAAAAAAAGTATCATTTAACGTTTTAAAATGATTTTGTATTATATTCTTTATTTTGCTATTTTGCAAGAGAAATTCCAACACGTGTACCTCTACCTTTTTGTTCAAGATATTTATATAGTCAAGATAGCTTACCTATTCATTATAAAGAAAAGTAACGTCTACTATGACATAATAAAACTTTACGATACAGACACTATTATTCAAGCGTTGAAATCTGAATGAAAGACGTGTGAAAGAAATGACATGGAATTTGCGTGCTGGTTTACCATGACAACGAGGTGATTGCCCCCTACAACAAACATGGGCAGAAGTGAACGAAAGGCATGAATCACCCGCGAGCGTGAATTGCACGCGCAGATTCCCAAAATGGAATGCGAATTATTGGCTCTATGCATATCGGAAACACTCCTGTGTGTATTTAACATGAAGTGCATTGCCTATAATAATTATAGTGCATTGCCTTGCCAATAACGCAAGAAACGATAGCAGTGAATACCGAATAGCAGCAATTACGTAGCAAATACTCATGAAAGACAGCAGCAACGTTCGTGCAATCTGTTCTGCTTAAGGAATAACGTAATATGCTAATATTCTTCCATCAGTCATCTCGTCGCTTACCGCCACGCTGCTTTTCAAAACATTTCCGCAATTATAGACCCACGAACGCGCGCACACACACGCACGCGCGCACCTACACACGCACGCGCGCACCCACACACGCGCGCACGATCGCACGCACTTAACATATCTCGCATAAAATGAGCATATATATAATATATATATATATATATATATATATATATATATATATATATATATATATATATATATATATATATATATATATATATCAGGGTTCTGCCCATGGTGGGCGGCGGTGGGCGGGTGTACCCGGCACTCGCGGTTGCCGCCCGGCACTATATATCTCCGCCCGGCACTAATTTTTGATATTAAAAAAAAAGAAAAAAGAAAAAAGGTCTGATATATGGGCTTTTTATTGCTCAGAATGCAGGAAATTGAGTTTCAGACTATCCAAAATCAAAAATTTTCCGGGGGGCATGCCCCGGACCCCCCTAGATTAGCTTCGCGCCTACGGCGCAACTGGATGCGCCCGGCACTAAAAAATCCTGGGCAGAACCCTGTATATATATATATACACATATAATGCGCAGACTACCAAAAAACACCTGACGACGCACTGCTACATACGTGTTTACGGCATACCCTCGGCAAACCTCAGCAACATTCCCGGAATCAAGACAGCCTAATGCGGCTAATCCGCTCAACTTTCATGTTCTATTGCTGTCGGATTACCAGGGGACTAGAGGGACGATTCTATGAAGACATTCTAGACTTGCCATTTCGCATTCGATGCAATTCGCATATAATAATTCACCCGCGGTTCGTTCGTCTAGCGTTGTCATCTGTTACGGCGCATATTATAATTAGGCTTACCGGTGGTCGACCTGAGATGCTTTCCGAGCTCTTCAAATTTACCTCTGAAAGAATTGATCTCTACGAAGCAGACCGGGATAGCCCACGCATTGTTTCCGAACGACATTTGAGTGCCGCGTCCCGCTTTGAGATTTTCGAAAAGAAGCATTCCACACAAAAATGTCTGTCATGCCATCGCTCTCACCTCTGACCTTTCTTTTATGCGCGAGCCTTTCTCTAAACATCTCCCACAAGACTGCTCCCCGTGATCCTTCGGTAAGGGGGGCCACGCCAATTCGCTGACGTGGGGGTGGGCCGGTGGAGGAAGGGCAAACGGATGTGTGTCGCTTGCGCCGTGTATAAACGGTAGCACTTGTTGAGAAGTGAATGTTTAACTTATCGGTTCATAGTTACGAGGTTTATGGTATTTTTCCAGCCACCGTGTGTACGATGAAACGGAAACCGAAATCGACGATGTCGAATGTTGCAAAACCTTGTTGGCCCTAATGCCTGCCATAGCTGGGCTTACTTCATCATGAAATGAAGCCAAGTGTGTCGCATAATGACGACAACTATAGCAGCATATATGCGGCTACAGTTCTTCAGCGACTGACCGACCTCTACAGAGTATAGCTGTGGGTTTTCCGGCTGTCCCTCTACGAAACAATTACAGCACTCGCATAGTATGTACGTACTAGAAACAAGATAGAGCGCTACGGGGAACGATCTTAGAGCGATCAAGCTAACCAGGGGGAGTAGCTTCAGTGTAATCACTTATAGCACTTTCGTATTAACAGAAAATCCGGCTGTAGCCAGAGAGTGGAGTGAATCAACGACAGGAAGAAGTGACAGTGTGAAGTCGGTCGCGATGCCGCAGCAGTGATAGCTGACAGCAGCGATGCTACCACAAACGTGCCACATCCTCGTCAACAATAGCCGCGCGTAAGCCACACACAAGTCAGCCTTTTATGGCGGCCCGTAAAACGTCGCGTTTACGAGCGCCGCATAAAGGAGACGGCGCAGCGCCGGTGATCTCCGGCGAGCGTGGAATGTGCCGCGTGGCTTTGTCGTGCGTTTCAGCGTGCGCTCGTTATCGGTATAGTACCGCAGATGCTGTGCATATACCTGATTGGCTCGCAGACTCTGTACACATATATACCTGCTTGTTTCGCAGACTCTGTACACATATATACCTGCTTGTCTCGCAGACTCTGTACATATACCTGCTTGTCTCGCAGACTCTGTACATACACCTGCTTGTCTCGCAGACTCTGTACATATACTTGCTTGGCTCGCGCGCGCGCGTACACGCTCCACGAGGAGCTACCACCACCCCCACCCACACCGCCACCAAACCGCACATCGCACCAACCAATAACTTGACTCTTTCGCCGCCACCGCCGACTAATTCACTGTAAGCAGTCGCGATAGAAAGCGGCGGCGGCGGCGGCGGTGGCGGCGAAAGAGTGAAGAAGTGCAGCCGGCGACTAGCGACGGCTCGGGATGTCCGACGAAGAATGGAAGCTTCTGTTTCTATACGTACTCGTCCGACAGGAGACAACGAGCGTGCGCGCGCGCTTGCCACACATGCACGCCACGTCATTATTAACGCGATGGGAAAAACCTGAAGCTATAACTGCTGATGGCTCGGCCACTCGAAGGCACTTGACATTTTTTCGCACGCCCAATTTTAAAGGCTAAGTAAGAAGGAGGCATTCCACGGAGTGATTTTCTGCGAGTCCTTTGTCACTGGACGAGTATGAAAGAAAAGGCGAGAGTAAGAGAGAGAGGGGAGAAAGCGAAAGAGGAGCGAGAGAGGTGTAGAAAGGAGGGCGACGGGGGCAGTATAGGAAAATATTATTAATGCCACAATGAGCCAGTTGTGTTAGAAATACTTGTGCAGTAAGTTGATCTGCAGATGATGCACTGCTTCCGAACGCTGAGCTATTGGGAAAGTCAAGATCAACATGCGAGTTCAATGAGTAGCCTAGCTTGAAATATAGATTGATTTATAAAAGAAGATAGAACCGAAGATAGATAGAAATCTTATCGTTGGTGTCTGATAAAAAGGAATAATTTGATACTTAATGGTGAATTAAACAAAAAAGGGTAGTAGTTGCCCGTGAGGAAAGCTAACAAAAACCGTGTACGACTCGCGTATTGATCGCGTGCGCGCGCACCTTCTTACGCAGTTTTCCACATGTTGTGAACACCGGTTTTCAGTTATAATTGTTATCTTAAACGCTAACGAGCGTTAAGTTGCTGGCTCCCTGCGAATCCCGCCTACTCGCCCCCTAGAGAGTGGCCTTCTTGGAAAGTTGTATACTTTTATGCCGAGTGTTTATTGCACGTAAATTTACTCGGTTTGCCGCTGTCTAACACGTTTTGTCCTTTTTTGCAGGCATGACACCGGCCAAAAGTTGCCCCCCTCCACCATGACATCCCGGATACTGCCGCTTGTCACGACACTGGTTATTTGTACAGTTCTGTCAACTGTCCACGGACGTTTGACGGTCACTGCTGTCCATAAGGATATACACGTCGTCACGACAACGGTAAACCTATGGACGTTTTTCGGCAATGATAGTACCATATGTGGTGCCTGGTCCAACAACCAGGAGTGTAATGCCACTACCGCCGGGGCACATCCACAAGATGGCGTTGCGACGACAACAGGGCCACTTGAGAGTGACTTGCGGGATGTGAGTAATAGCAGAAATAGTACGGGCAAAATTATCAGCAATGTCACATCGGCAGCAATGCAACCTGTGGGCAACAGCGGCACGACGACGACAACCACTGCGAATGTACAAAGTCGAGACAATGGAAACACTACTGCAACGGTGCCCATAGAAAATGTAGATAGTGTGGACAATAGTAACACTATGGTGGTGACAACTCAAAAGCTGTTAACTACGGACAGTGGTAGCACTACAATAGCACCAAGTGCACAGTTACAGAGTGATCGCAATGTAGGCAGTATAACCAATACCAGCGATGAGGTACGTCCGACAACTGTACATTCGCAAATGGCACAAACTACTAAAGGTGACATCAGCACACAGCTATCTCACACGGCATCGCGCGGGCAACACGAGAATGTTGAAGATGATGTCATTCATCTCAGACCCTCTGAGACATCAACAGAACCTGTGTCCTACCTGCGAGTGTCAGCACAGAAAACAACTCCGACCGTACCAACTACCTCATACACCAGTGCCTACACCTCACCCGTGACTACATCAACACGAGATACTGATACCAGTGAACCTAGTTCGAAGCCTGTGATAGAATCGCCACAAAATGGTGACATTCTCAGTACACGACTGCCACAACAAACTGAAGTGATTATCAACACCGTTCAGCCAACACAAACTGATGGGTCGTCCGGCCCGCATCTGCCCCCACAAACTGATGACATCACCAGCACTCTTGCGTCGACGAAAATCGGTGGAGTCGCTGACGCTGTGATATCAACCGACGGTTCCTCCGTGCAGACAACACTCCGGCAGAAGGAAGCGCGTGAGAGCGGCATACCAGTGTCCTCTGTCTCAAGCGAACTTGCGATGGAGAGCATGCCCTCGCAGGACACCACGCCCGACACCACCAGACCACGGGTGCGCGGCGAGGGAATCCGCGACACCGTTAACTTGCAGCTGGAGGAGGGTGCGACAGGCGCGGTGCTGCTTCCCTTCTCCAAGCTGACGCGCGGCGCGTCGTACTCGGTGCGTGCGGTCAGCATCGGTGCTGCCATCACGGTGCTGGCCCTCGTCGCGCTCGGCGCCACCTTTGCAATGCTGCTGTGGTACCGACGGACACACTCGCGTCGCTACCACCCGCAGCATTACCACGACGACATCAAGCTGGTCGAGATCAGCAGCGTGGGTAGCATCAGCAGCAGATCCATCGTCACCGTGGGAACGAGAAAGTCTCAGTGCTGATGCAAAACCATGGTTTTGTACGACGCGGCTACATAGGTGAACTATTAATACTGATTGATATTTAGTATAGAGACATCCAAATTGCAATATTGATGCATCCGTACTAAAAGATGATCACATCTGATCAAGGATTTATTGGAAGTGATGATGTCATAACCTTTCCCATTGATTCTCGAAATTGTATGAGTCTGGTGAAAAATCATTGTGTTTGAAACCAATGTCGTTTCCCAATGTCCAATAAAATATGACATTAGCGATGAGCCTACATTTACTTCATGATATTGATTACTTCATTCATTGCAGTAAAAAGCTATTATCACATTGTTATAATTGTTATACTGCGTTGCATGTTTAAAACATGTCTATTAACAATGCATATTGAAATGACATAATATGTAATGAAAAATATATTTATACTTTAAAAATAAAACTCAATTATTGAAAATTAGATGCTTGGCATTCCAACTTTTAGTGAACATCTTACATAAAGTAAATCGAAACAAAACAAAATGGGTATCAAACAAGCTGGAGTTGCATGCCGACCCAGCAATTCATTGATGGGAGATATCACTGATTAATAGTTACAAATGCTTGCTTTATAATATCTGAAGCGTCGGAAGTTAACCTGACGACAGTCTCTCTACCATCATATCATCTAATAAGTGGCGTGCTGAAAAGGCCAGCTAGCAAACAAAACGTAACAGGCTGCTAACACATAACTACAGCAACGCCATCACTAGATACCAAGAGCAAAGCAGCAGTTGACGCTGTGTACCAAACTCATGAGCACGTGTCACTAAGGGTAACTACAACATTTAAATCACTTGCACATATCATGTCACTTGGGAATTCCACATTTCAGTGTTCCAGTACAAATTTGTATAAGTATGGTAATGTTTCCCCTTTCTAAACCATGTGAGATTCAACTATTTCACTTCACTGCAATACGTGTCATTACAACACATTCACACCTAACCTGCAACATTTTTGTTTAAAGAACAGAGTGTAGCGGTAACAGCTCCACCGGGTAATATCCAGCACACATCAACATCCTCCATCACAAACTCCCTTCATCAGCATTTAACCTTGATACCAACACACAGAAAACGTGAAAGCATATCTGGTTATTTCACATAGCAGGTAAGATGAAGGAGTATGTTCAATGTATATATGGAAATCTATAAGACTAAGAAGTTTGCACACTCACCTGTAGGCATCATAGCTGAAGTTCTCTTTAAGAAACAGAATGCCCTTGACATCTGTCGCGGTGTGGAAGAGCTTATAGAAGTACGCGTACTGACGCGCTATATGACGATACTGCTTCAAAGCCTCATCTAAAAAAAGTGCCAGACAATTATTTACTACCATTGTTTAACTTATCCAGATAGTATTAGAAGTCTATGAGACTATTTAATATACTGCGATCTGCCTTCATTACATTTATTTTCTTACCCATTTTTCATGTTTTCAGGAAAAGGATTTTTTTAAATATTTATGGAAGGATTTTAACTGTACAATATGATATGTGATTCAGAGAGTTGTTATTGTAGTTTCTCAAAAACAATTTCTGTTTACATGTGCAAATGGACATGTTAAGATAGCTGCATATAGGAATCGAAATGCAATTATTGCACCATAAGAACAAATAAACAATATATACAACTACTTCTACCACCTAAAGAGCCCAGAGTAGAGATACATAAATACTAACCATAAGCAGGGTCGCCTTTTAACATCTGAAACTCCTCAAGGGTAAAATACAGTGGTACAGTAAATGTACCTGGCAAGATGTCTGAAGAAAATAGTGTTAAAGATATAAATAATAAAGTTTCCCTCTTTCGAGAGTGGCATAATTATTATGGAGATGAGAGATATACACTTAGAGTATAAATACACTTAGAAGTATAAAAAACTACACTTTAAAGCCACCTCTCAACTGAAACTACGCCAGTAGTGCATACGAGAAGCACTGTTAAATACCCACTAAGATACCTAGTGGTATGTTGCCCCAAACAAAGGATACTAATATAAGATGTCCATGCGGAACTGGAAGAGAATTTTTCACAGAGAAGGTGTAAAGCCAAAGTTACGTAAGGCATGTTCTGTAGCAGTGGGTCAATCTCTATCAGCCAGCCTGCAAAATTATATACACAAATAAAATATTACTTGGGAAATCCCAATGCTTACAAGAGTTGACACCCTTTTGACAAAACAGAGGCTACAGTCTGACTTTTTAAAGAGAAAAAGATGGTGAATAACTGGTATTTATACAAATGTATGTGTGTGCATCCATGCGTGCGTGCACGTGTTGTCTCAAAAGCTTGGTTCATGGAATAAATATATAACACCATACCTATATATAATTTGATTTTAATGTTATGAATCTATTGATGTCTGTGTGCCTTTCGCTAATATTTATATACATATATATAGAGTTGACTATATATATATATATACAGTCAACTCTCCAAATTCCTAACACCTTCAAAACCGAATCTCAGATTAAATCAGATGATTTTTCAGTCCCAGCGCCATCTGAGACACGTAAGCCATCCCACTATAAAACGAACTTCACAGAAAACCAAACTAAATGGACAGTCCCGAGTGTGGTCAGTATTGGGATATGTATATATATATATCAAGGCTCGACACTAGCGGTGGCCCGGTGGCCCGGGGCCACCAAAACTTGATGTCGGGCCACCAAAATTTCCAAAAGTTAAAATTTGGTGGCCCGAACGGGCCACTAAAATTTCAAAGTGTCTATGTGATAAAAATAATCGTTTCTTACGTGCTAATCTCATTCAAAAGAGAGCGAGCAATTCGCGGAGCGAGGGCACACGTACGCACGTGCAGCATTCTACCGCGGGCATACACGGG